GATTGGCCAAACACGCAACCCACATGCATCGATGCATTATGGCAAGCTTGCGAGACTTTGACTAATTAGCACTTTAACACCACACAAACAAAACTCAGTATTAACCGGTTAAAACACTTCTATGTACGTGCTCCGATCTTCTCTCTACTAATTAATTTATGCAGTGATCGATCGATTGGGTATCCATGGAGGGGGGACCTAGCTAAATTATTACTGTCATGAATTGACTGGATCGATCTTGAACGGCCATTAGTCACAGTAACTGCACTGATTAATCATCACTTCTCCTGGCAAGTGCTGCGTCTCGTAAAAACTGGTACCAATATGGCATTAGCTATTCCTGCTAGTACAGCAGTACTGCAAAACTACTTCACCCGTCTCCTCTAAAGTTTTTTCAATAAAATTAAATAAGAAACTATTTATAATTTGTTGAGATGAGTAAGTAAATAAAGGATTAAATTGCGTTGACGGTACAAGAAATTAGTAGGAGGGTGCGATTAGGTGAAAAACTTGAAAACCGAGCGTAGTGGTACAATAACTTGGCTAGATGGATGCGCTCATGGTGCAAAAGTTGTCACGTAAACAAAAATTGCCACATTACTATTCCACCTTAGCACAATTGCCGTATTGGCTTTAACACGAAAGATCTATCTCATTTTATAGAAAACCCCCTAATATGATTTGTTGACGTACAAATATATCCTTTTATCTTTCTTGACATGATCCTGATCGAGAGGTGGTTGCGCTGGTGGTGACGCAGCGGTGGCGGCGACGTAGCGACGGTGGCGGTGGTGGCGGCTGCGGCGACGATGATGACAACAAGGGAAGCCGTGCAACTACATCGCGGCGGCGACGAGGGCTCTGTGTGCCACGCTAGTTCAAGCCCTAAACCATAACCAAACCAATTCAAGTCCACAAACTGCTGCTGTCGACGTGATTGCCACAAACTTTGGGATGGCTCTGACTCGGCGAGTTCCTGGAGCTTGTTATGGTAAATCACCTGCTGATGGTTGTAGATTTCTATTTTTCGTTCAATTGATGGAGGATTGCAAAGTTAAGGTCTCATTGACCTATACGATGGCTGTATTATTTTGGTCTTTCACTTGAATATCCTGTTATTTGTTATTACAATGCAATGAAGAGATCTAATGGTACTAGCCACGATATTGGTAGTACTGTAATTATTGATTGGTGTTTCCTGTAGCTGTATACGATATAAGAGTAACATTGGCAATGAGAAATTCTTACTAGATGTATTTTGTACCCTTATCGATCAACAGCATATAATTAGTTCAATAATCTGCAAATAATCTTAGTGTATTATTTTCCTTATGCGGGTATAACACATCACCAATTATTTTGTATTGCAGGCCATGAGGAAGAATTCACAATTGAACTGCATCATGGTGGGGTTTTTTTTTCGGAGTTGGCAGTAGCAGAATTTATCTGGATGAGAAGGTGGACTGGTTTGATCATTGCGACACTGACACATGATCTTCCTTATGGCTTGATGATATTATTGAGGCATAGCTCCCTGCGTCTGCTGGTGGTCCGGTGGGGATCCCGTGTACTCGTCGTGTCCGGTGGGATTCCTAGTACTCATCGTGCCTGACGGAGGTGGCGCCGCTGGCTGTGGACGAGGAGGGGAACATGGACTTGATATTGTCGGAGACTCGATCTGCACCCAGCGAATGTGGAAGGAAGGAGCCAGCAGCGGACGCGGCGCTGGTCATGGCGCCGCCGGTGTTGCCGAACCTGTAGGACGTCGAGGTCGCCTGCTAAGTGGCCTCGGGCTGCTCCGTCGATGCCGCGGTGGGGCCTCTAGATCTTTCTAATCTTTCTACTTCCTCCGTTTCACAATAAGTCATTCTAGTATTCCTCACATTCACTTACATTGTGAAACGGAGGGAGTACCAAACAATGGGAAAACAGATACACCTGAAGAAGAAGTGATTGGAATATAAAAGTTACTAGGGACTTTTCTGTAAAATGAGATGGTCAATGCTAATGTGGCACTTTCGCTAAGGTGGAACAATGGCGTGGCAACTTTTGCACCATGAGCGCACCCACCTAGCCAAGTTATTGTACCGTTACGCTTGGTTTTCAAGTTTTTCACCTAATCACACCCATCTGCCAAGTTCTTTTACCGTCAACGCAATTTACTCTAAATAAAGAAATTAAATAATATATAGTTATATTTCGGGATAAAATCTAAACGCATAAAAAGTAAAGTAACTATATTATGGGATGGTGAGTCGGTGAGAGTATCAATCAGGTTTTCTTTAGATCAGGGTGAAAAGTTTTACCGTGTCACATCGGATATATGGATATATACATTTGAAGCATTAAACATAGACTAATAACAAAACAAATTACAGATTCCGGCTGTAAACTGTGAGATGAATTTATTAAGCATAATTAATCCGTCATTAGCAAATGTTTACTGTAGCACTACGTTGTCAGATCATGGAGCAATTAGCCTTAAAAGATTCGTCTCGCAATTTACACGTAATATATGCAATTAGTTTTTTTCCCTATATTTAATACTCCATGCATGTGTCAAACATTCGATGTGACAGGGTAAAAAATTTTGCCTGGGGTTTAAACGGGCCTTCAATGTGAAATTTTCCTTTTGGCAAACAGTAGTACAGTTGCAGAGAGCTAGCAGTAGCACTCATGCTAGTACAAATCGGGAAAAGTACACGCAAGGTCCCTCAACTTGTTAGCCAGATACAAAATCGTCCCTTAACCACAAAACCGGACATCCGGCGTCCCCTAACTTACAAAACCGGTCACAATAGGACCCTCGGCGGTTTTCACCCTAGTTTTGTCCCACGTGGCGGCTGACTCAGCGTGGGACCCACGTGGACCCCACGTGTCAGTAAGCCACGTCAGCACCCTATCTCTCTTTCTCTATTTCTCTCCTTCCTCTCGCTCCCTGCTCTCGCACAGGCGGCGGCGCGCGCGGCCGAAAGGTGGTGTGGCTAGCGACGGCGGTTCCCGGGTGGCGGCGCGCGGGCTCAGGGCGGTGCGAGTTCGCCGGCCTCCCCGTCCCCCTCGTGTGGTCGGCGATGGCGGCGCGCGGCTGCGGCCATCATAACTGACGCGGAGAGGAGGGCCGATGCGGCGGCGGCACCGACGCGGTGGAGAAGAGGGTCGGCGCGGCCGACGGGGAAGAAGCGGCGGAGAGGAGGAGCGGCGGTAGAGTTGGAGCCACACGCGCGGCCGGCGGAGGCGCGGGGAGGCCGGTGAGCTCCTCCCAAGTCCAAATCCGGCGGCGAGGCGGGAGGAACGCGGTGACGACGGCGGGGAAACACGGGGAGGCCAGTGTCGGCTTCGAGGCGGGAGGAATGCGTCGGCGTTGGCTCAGGGGAGCAAGGCGGCGGTGGCGGCGGTGAGGGGAGCAAGGCGGCGGTGTCAGCTTCCTCTCCGTGCTCGCCGACGAGGAGGAGCGGCGGGCGACCGCAGCGGCCAAGCTGGAGCCACACGCGCAGCCAGCGGAGGCGCGGGGAGACCGGCGAGCTCGTTGGCTGGGCGGTGGCGACGAGGCAGGAGGAACGCGTCGGCGTCGGCTTGGCGGTGGCGGCGAGACGGGAGGAACGCGGCGACGACGGCGACGCCATGACGGCGCTCGAGGACCAAAGCCGCGATGCCCTCGACGGCTGCCCGGCTCCTTCCCCGGTGGCTAAGCCTGGGGGAGACGTCGACACCGTCTTCCTCGGCTTCGTCTACAACCACGCACCGCTGCCGCCCTTCGCGCCGCCCGTACCATGCATGTCTGTTGGCCGCAGCGACCGCGCTGGGCTGCCGCCGCCCTCCCCTTCTCCCGTGTCGCCGCCACCGCGTCGCCGGTCGGCGGTCGTCGGACCTCCTCTCCCGCCTCACCCTGGCGACATCCCCACCCACCGCCCGGCCCGTCCAGCCTGTCGAGAGGAGATAAGTAAGAGAGAGAAAGAGAGAGAGAGGAAGGGGGAGGAAAGATAGAGAGAGGTGATGACATGGCTTACTAACATGTGGGGCCCACGTGGGTCTCACGCTGAGTTAGCCGCCACGTGGGACAAAACCGGGGTCAAAACCGCCGAGAGACCTTTTGTGACTGGTTTTGTAAGTTGGGGGACGCCGGATGTCCGGTTTTGTGGTTGAGGGACGATTTTGTATCTGGCTAACAAGTTGAGGGACCTTGCGTGTACTTTTCCCGTACAAATCATCAATCAATAACCAGCCTGACCGTACCATTTTTCTCGTTTTTTGATTTTTTTTTTTGCTCTTTCCGTGCGACACGTAAAACACTGCGGGGAGAGGCTCCTCAATTGGGCGTATAGACTGCCACTGAGCAGTTTCTTCGGTCAAATCCCTGTTCCCCATGCATGTGATCTGCCTAGTGTCCGGTTTGTCTCACCGCCCATCTCCGATTTAGCCGTATTCTTAAAAAAAGAGGGGAAGCAGAACCAAGTCAAGATGATATGGGTCGCCCCTTCTTCTTGCGTCAAAGATCTTACCATTTCCGAAGGAACTGGGGCTACATTTCTTTTCAATTTCCATTCAAGAGTTTCTATCTGTTTCCACGCCATTTTTTGAGAGCTCGAAACATGAAATGGATAAATTCCTTCTCTCTAGGAACACGTAAGAATGCATGCATGCCACGCGCATCTTAGGTATTTTGCAAAAAACTTCTTGTCCATGTATAAAATTTTGATCTGACCCTTACCCTGCCTAAATGCCTGTTATGTTTTTTTTATAGAAAACCCCTTGCCTTTCAGAGAAATACAATAAGAAGAAGCATGGTATCCGCTCTGTCTTCGATTTTGTTTGAACGGGGAAGCTGATTACCGCATCGCGCACGATTGTACTGACGCGAGCGATAGGTGACAGATGAAAAATTACCGGAAGCCTTACGAATTTTTTTATTAGGTATAGATAGATATAGATATAGATTTATTTATTTTGGACAAAGAGAGTGGACCTTTCCCATTTCATCAACGAAATGCAATCAGTTCAAGTGCATTACAAGACACACTCGATATTAGGGATCTACCTTTTCGAGGCCTTACTTAAAAAACAACACAGTGCAAACTTATGAATTTCTTTTATACAATATATATAAAAGATTACCTAGAATCTACAAGCAGAAGATAGCTTCAAAGCCTAATAGGATAGCCTGATACCGGTATCATATGGGCCGCCGTTATGCAGTTGGGCTTTGGCTTGAAGCGTACCTTCACACCTTGAAAAAGCACAATAGCGATACCAATATAAGCATCGCATGAGACTATGAGATGGACTTCTCTAAATTGCTACTAATAAAATTGTTAACCTATAGTATTATATGTTTCAGCTTTATTATAAACTTCATCGCTTGTCTCCACATATCCCTCAAATTGGGGACGATCTGTTTGTTATTAAGAAGCACCAACAAAGGCTTCAGTTTTTCACCAGAGGCTTCATTCAGTCAAAGCTTGGGAACAAGCCTCCTTCCATGGGAACGTCTAGGAGGTAGGTCCAAATCTTCCCACTCTGGATCATCGACTTTGGAAAAATATTTTTCGACCACCTCGTCGTGCACCTCTTCCAACCTTGGAGGCATCCACTGCAATTAGCAAAGATGTCAGGGTTAGATTTAATGCTATGCCCATGCCAGATTAGACAATATGTGAAGAACGAATTTTCTGACAAACAGGATGTTAAGCTGACCTTTGGGTTTCGATCTCTATCCAACAATATAGCCCTGCATCCCTGCAAATAGGAATTGAATCGTCCAAAGTATGTTCATCTTAAGTGAACATGTCATGGGGAGATGTAGATAGATATTTACCTCAAAGAAGTCTCTACTGAAGTCACCACGCATCACATGGCAAACCATTCTATATTCTCGACGTAAGCATTCACCAACAGTTTGTGTTCGCCCTTCTCTTATCTGAACTCACAGTAAATACAACAAGCTAAGAACATAATGGGGGCACAGATGGCTAGCGTCTCGCGAACTACATATACTACAGTAAAACAAAGACCTTCCCTACTGAATGTTAGGTGTAAAACAAACTTTTCTTAGAGACTAAGCTCCACTTTAGACCTTAGTAGGTAGTGATAGCTGGAGGTTTGACACCTCGAAGCTCATGGTGAGATTGGAACTCCCATTTGACGCAGTAGTAATTCTAATCTCTTGGATAATGTGGAAAGAACGGAACGCTCAGGTGTTTGACGGTGCCAGCAAATCGGCCTCTGAGGTAATCTGCTGCATCATAGAAGAATGGACTTAGCGTGATGCATGCTTGGGAGGAATGTTGATCACTGAAGTGCGCCGATAGAGGGCTGCCCTGTTGTGGCAGCAACCAATTCTGTGCCTCTCCCGGACTTAGGGCCAATTCTGAGCTTTTAAGTTGTGTTCCTGTGTTAGGGTGATCCCTAAACAACCATGTTTGTTGTAAACAATACTTTACTCCTCTTGATCTTAATAAAATTGGTCAGGGCTTCCTTCGTTGTCGGCCTGGTGAAAAAGACCAGAACTCCCAAAAGATAGGTCACATGATCTTAAAAGGCTAGAAACTAACCATAACACTATTTTCTGTCAAAATTGTAGTGGTTATACAAAGTGAACCATCTAACTGCTTTGTTCCGCTAGTTGTAGCGAGCGCGCCGGCGGCGCGCGTTTCCGGCCAAGAAGGAACAGCGCCGCTGCGCCGGTGCGCGCGCCTCCGCTACGATTTTTTTTCGTTTTTTTTACCCTTTTTTTCCTTTTTTTTCTCACTTTTTTCTGATTTTTTTTTATCTTTAGCATATTTTGAGTTTGAAAGTTTTCAAATCTGAACTTGAAAGTTTTCAAATCTCGATTTGAAAGTTTTCAAATCTCGAGTTGAAAGTTTTCAAAATTTTCAAATCTGCATTTGGAAGTTTTTGAATCTCGAGTTGAAAGTTTTCAAATCTCAAATTGAAAGTTTTCAAAATTTTCAAATCCGAACTTGAAAGTTTTCGAATCTCGATTCTTGAGTTGAAAGTTTCGAATCTGAGTTGAAAGTTTTCAAATCTCAAGTTGAAAGTTTTCAAATATGAGTTGAAAGTTTTTAAAATTTGACTTTAAAATTTAAAACTTAAATCGAAAGTTTTCAAATCTAACTTAAATTTTTTTTAATCTGTTAGTAAAAAAAATCTCCCGAATCTTTCCTAATTACTATCATTACTGTTAAGTATATTAACTAATATAGGTAGTTAAGACTAAAGGGAAGGGGGGAATGCTCGCCAGCTACTTTCCTGGTGCCCACGCGCGCGCTAGCCACCCCCTCCATAGTTTCCGCCAGACGGGATGTTGTGAGAAGGGCACTAACTCTGTCCCAAACAGTGTACTACTATAGGCCATACTAAACAATACTCCCTCCGTCCCACAATATGAGGGCTTTTGAGTTTTTGCTTGCAACGTTTGACCACTCGTCTTATTCAAAATTTTTTTGCAAATATCAAAAATGAAAAGTTGCGCTTAAAGTACTGTGGATAATAAAGTAAGTCACAAATAAAATAAATAATATTTTTTTAAAAAATTAAATAAGACGAGTAGTCAAACGTTACAAGCAAAAACTCAAAATCCCCTATATTATGGGACGGAGGGAGTACTACATTATGTTTTTTAATAGATGACGCCGTTGACTTTTTGTCAGACGTTTGACCATTCGTAATTATAATTTATTTTGTTGTGAGTTGTTTTATCACTCAACGTAATTTAAGCATGATTTGTATCTTATACATTTGCATAAAATTTTTAAATAAGACGAATGATCAAACATGTGTTTAAAAGTCAACAGCGTCATCTATTAAAAAACGGAGGGAGTATTTACCAACACAAGCTTGATCAGGAGATAGGGAGGATCCGGCAGAAGCACGGAATTCCTCTTGTAGTGAAAATCAGATCGGTTCTATTAAGAATAGGTCATAAGCAAGGGTAGGGAGGCTGCAAGCTCCAAGTCGAACAGAAAGAAGCAAGCAGGGGGTGTTGCATAGCACGCCGGAGATCAGCGTAGGCAACCAAACTAAATAAGGCTTAAGAAAGTAGTTGGTGTTTTTAAGCTGGCTGCCTTTTCTAGCACATGTACTCTTCTGTGGAGTGAACGAGCCTTGTCTTCCCTCCAACGACTAGTTTCAAAGACATTTACAAAGCTTTTAGAACTGGTATGCCCATACATGCAATTTGACTATGCAAAAGCTATAATCTTAGAAGGTTTGTTTTTTTGGCTATAGGGCTGATCTGTTGTGCCAACTGCCAAGACAAAAGAGTAGGGTTCAGTTCATAAAGCTATCTGAAGTATGCGCTTGAGCAATATAAATACTGGTCATATGAAACCATATAAAGGATTGATGGGTCTAAATAAATAGTAGTGCCTTACACTACAATAATTTGCATCAGAAGGCACCAAGATAGAATGACTTGAGTAACATAAAGACGTATGCTTTGGAAATGTTTGAGAGGATACCGATCTCAAGGATATTTTCATACTAGTAGGAGAAGCCTTCCTCATGGACTGGATTGCAGAAGCAATCCATTCATCAGCAACATTTGGAGCCTCTTGTTCCTAACATGATACACATCAAATTTAGCACAACAGAACTGGAGAGTCCATAGAAAGCAAATGAGGACTTAGCATAACTCACAAGAGAGGCTATGATTTCTTCTACTGTTTTTTTGGAAAAGCATTTGTTGATGATTTCTAGCCTGCAATCATATGACGGAAGTAGCAGATATGGATTAGGCAATAAAAGTTGACCTGAGAATGAAATGAGAAAACAAAACCTTGAAATGAAAGAGGAACAAATGGAATCTCCTGACAAACTAAAATAAGTCCTTCCAAGTTACAATGCACTGACAATTGCCTTTTTGGCCTTCAAACAAGATTAAGAAAAGCAATACCCAAAAATGAGTTCAAAGATGAGGAGAATATAGAAAACACACGGGTAACAGGTTAGGCCGTTAGGGCATAGGGAACGGCTTATTTAAAGCCAGGCCAGACAACCATTACCAAGCTTTTTGATAAGTTGAAGCCCATCCATCTATTGAAAGAAGACACAAGATGTGGGAAGTGCATGCTGTTGCTTTCCTATATCTCCCCCATTCCAATTCCTTACATTTCTCCACCTGCCCTTCATTACAAGCTAATATTATTTCAAAAGGACTAGTCTATCTATCTGGGGGCTGAGGCTTGGACCCAAAATAAAGTTGTTTGGAGAGGATAAATTGGTCAAACACGCCCCCAGGATGAGGAGTTTTTCCTGCATGAAATTTATATTGATGGTATAACTATGGAACTTTATGTAGCTACTAGTAACTTAAAAACTGTAGATTAATCAATCTAAATTTAACATGCCAAAAAGGATTTGTACGACAAGATTACTTGGTGTGAACCAGAATATCCCACCTGTCCAGGATACGTCATTTTTACAGGGTACACAAAGGAAGTAGAATAAGCTTGACGTGCATGAAAAGGTAATGTCTGGACAATTGCACGCTTACCTATTCAGAGCGCTTTTTTCTTTCAGAGATGGTTGTTGCGAATATTGATCGATAATTCCACATATAGCAAATGGATCAGATGTATCAACCTTTTTAAGTGATTCTTCTAGCAAAGACAGCCTCTGCAAGAGTGAGTGTACTAGTAGGAATTAGAAAACCAGCAATACTCGGGTTATCTATAATCACACTTGGAACAAGTCAAGTGTGTAGGACATGTTATAACAGTTGACTTCCAAACATAAAACGAACAAATATGTGGTCCCACACTGAACATAAAATTCAAAAGCCACTGGCAGACCTACATCTGAAGGTACAAAATGAGTTGCTAGGCCACAAGCAAGCATTTCAGCAGCATCCAACCTTACACCAGTAAGACCAACATACTCTCCTGAGAAAGACATAACAAAAAATCAGTGAAAACGATCTCCAATGATAGTTTCCCATCAAATTATAACTTTGTATGGTGTAATTATAACAAATTCACCATTATATTAAAATTCAACAGATGAATCCTGTGGACAGGCAATAAAAAATCTGGCCACATACATTTCTTGTTTTTACCAAAATTTATTAAGATGATGGGAGAAACAGAGTGGCCATATATATTTCCACACCCACAAATTTTAAAATCATGTAATAATATGATCATCCTAAATAAAAAATAGGGACTGTTTATACATCTGTTGATAGAATATCCCACCTCCAATCTTTCAAATTTTGGACCATTGGATATGCTTTGAGATTCGTGCACAGCCTTAACCCTAACCTTTTTTCTCCCATTCCTCTCCCCCTCGCGCATTCCGCCGCCGCCGCTCCCCTCGCGCGCCCATCTCGCCACCACCTGATCCGCCGCCGCCACCGCCCCAACACGCCGCCGCCCGCCTCGCCGGCTGGCCGAAGGGAGTCAACGGCGCAGGCGAGGTCCCCCCGGCCGGCGCCCTCCCCTCCCCCTCCCTGTCCTCTTCTTCCCTCAAGCCGATGGCGGCCGTCGTCCCCGTCTCCGACTGCGGGGCGCCACCACCGGCCGCCTCCTCCTGACATATCTTCCGCTTTGCCCCCGTCTCCTACACCGGCCCACCGCGAGCTTCCGACCCCGCGGCTTCGGCGGCGGCGCCGCCACCTCGCCGCCCGCCCGATCCGCCGCCCACCGCCGGGCTACCGCCTCCCACGGCCATCCCTCTAAAGCCGGCGAACTCTCCCCCCTCTTCTCCCCTACCCCTCCCCCCCTCCCATCCCCACCGCACCCCGGACCCTAATTCGTCGGCCCTCTGCCGGAGTTTGGGTTCCGCCGGCGCTGGCGCCGGAGAAGAAGAGGTGGTCGCTGGAGTTGGAGAAGAGCACGAATCGTGAAGCACATCCAGTGATCCAAAATTTGCAAGATTTGAGGTTGGATTTTCCCTAAAAAATAAGCATTTAAGGATGCATAACTGCACATGGGTTTCCAGTATTCATAATCAGTTTTAGACATTGCAATGAGAATTCATATGATCATGTGTGAAAGTTCAATTGAATAAAGGAGATATGAGATAGGAAAAAAGTTCACCATAGAACCCAAGAAGTCGAGATAGAAAATATGAAGCCCCAATATCTGGAAAGAGACCCAACGCTGTTTCTGGCATAGCAAAAACCTGTATAAATAGTAGTAAAAATACAGAGTCAATCTCTAGGCATATGCTGGTAAGCTGTTTATCCCATGAAAAGAATCAAACAAGCTTTTTATGCACACCAGCTACATCCTTTTTGAAATGATTTAAGCAAAAACGGAAGGTTCATATAGAGTTTGTTCCGTAATATATACCGTGCTATCTGTGACAACTCGGAACCTTCCATGTATAGAAACACCAGCACCTCCACCCATGACAATTCCAGTTAGAAGCGAAACCTAGATAAGAGTGTTGTAGCATTCAGTGGTAAGAATTGAGCAATAATGACAACAATTATGTGGACAAGCAGTTTCAAAGCCATAGCGACAGCTTACCTGAGGTTTGCTATATGTTGCAATGATATAGTTTAACAGAAATTCATTTCGGAAAAAATGAGCACCATATTTCCAGCTATCTGATATAAGAAATGCATAGTAAAACTAATTAGATGTCAAGAAGAAAATTCTCTATATATTGCATGTTAACAGTGAATTAGCATATAGCATATGGAAAGGCAAAGGAAGTCAAAGCAAAACAGCTAAAAGCCAAAAATAAACCAGCTCAAGATATTTGACATCATAGTCTCAAGGATGCATCATATGTGTTGTTTACCATTATTTATAGACCGGACAACTGCAGCAACATCTCCACCTGCACAAAATGCTCTTCCTTTTCCCTGACAAAGGAAAAAACAAGTGATGACAAGAATGGCAACGAGTTATAAAAATCAAGCTGAGCACAAACAGCAGCAGTAAAGGTAACAGCAGGAGGTACTAAAGATGGAATTATCCCAATAAGTCAAGACTCATATATCAGCAGCAGAAAATCAATTACATTTCATCCCGGCGAAAATCAATTACATTTACAAATGGCAAAAGGACAGTTAGCATGCAACAAAAGGCACGGGCAGCATTGTTGTTTTACGTTACTACAACTTGGTTGTACAAACTTCAATAAGCGGATGAAACTTTGAATTCATGATTTTGGAAATTTAAACAGGCAATTCATGTTTGATGTTAGCTACTACCTCGTTATTCATTTTTTAAAAAAAGATAAGCCTCTAAATACATTGTTCAAATATGGACCACATTAGATATTTCATTATTGTAGGACTCAAACATGATCGTTACCTTCACAATCAATAGTTTAACTCCATCATCTTCCTCATAAGCAGTGAAGCACCTCAAAAAACACGTTATCTAGAAAATGAAAGCAAAAAAAAATTATCAAATCAGTGTTCCTGCACCCTATATATAGTCGCTAATACCATATATGCCCCATTACTTATTGAATCATTGTCATGTTTTTGTCTTTAGAAGTCATACCATTGCAGAGGAGAGGGCATTCAACTGCTTTGGCCTATTCAAAACCAATGTCCGTGTTACACCATTTGCTTCTACCAAAACCTGGCAAAAAGAGAAATAGTAGAAGATATTCTCAGTAACAGGTAGAACCAATCATAAAAAATATGACATCTTACAGATAAGACTTGTGGTAGACAGCACACAAAGAAGATACAGATTGTAACAATAGTTCCCGATATGATAAATTGTTACATCGAATGCCAGAGTGTGGCCATTTGGCCGTTTGGCAAAAAAAACATGAAATAGGAAAATTAAATGCCTAATTACACGCACAACAGACAAAACCGAACAAAATTAGAATGGAGTTTAAACTCTCCATTCTGCTTATATATTCCTTAAAATAGTTGTGTTCTTGAGGCCAGTTGAGACGAACAGAGGATACAGAAACAATCTGGGTCAAACACAAGACTGCTATTTTTTTTTATTTGTAGGAATTCTACAGCAGAATGGTTTGAAGTTGAATCCTAAGATAAAACCGACCTCCCCAGATGTAACCAGTGTTACCGGGACACGCGAGTCCAAAAAAATTTTCCATGTCGACACGCATCCCCGTGTCAGCTCGTGTCTGACACGGTTCGACACGCATCAGACACTACTAGCGGTGTCTCTCTCAGCTGCCATAGGCGAGCAGTGCCGGTGGTTGTCTGGCAGACCTGTGGGAGAGGATGGGAAAAAGAAGGCAGAAGAGAGAGAGAGAATGGGATGGGAGAGCTCGATGGGAAAAGTAGCTGCGTGCGTGCATCTACAATGCACAGGCATACTAGTAGTACTCCAGAGACAACTAGTAGTACTCATGAGTAGTATTGGTAGTGGCATGTGGATGGCAGGATAGCAGTGGGTTTTTTTGTGCACAACTGCACAAGGGATCCTCTACACATGAAATTCACTTATTTTGGCTGTCAGTCTTTGTCCTAACTAATAAGAAGATAGGATCTTCTGTGCAGAATAATGTGTGACACCATATGTTTTAGTGTTTTACTGACTAAGAGTATGTTTTATTTGATGATATATATAATATTTTCACTAAAAATCATATTTATGGAGCGAGTCCCCGAATCCTATTTTTTCTTAGCTTGCCGAGTCGGACTCCGACACCCGTGTCAGTGTCCCGGTAACACTGGATAAGTAATTAGCATAATCTGTTTGCAGTAACCTAGTCGAATTTCTGAATTGCCTGTGAACTACTACAAGAGTATAATATAAAAATTAGTAGAGTGAACGAAATATGACCATGTATGTGACTACAATCGCCATGGTGATTAAAGAATAATAAAACATTCACGCCATCCATAGGCAATTGTCTACTACAGTTGTACACAGCGGCATCAACAATCAAATTAGAGATCAGATTGCTGCTACAGACGCAATCGAGCATCTTAAAACAACCTAAATGGATCAATTGATACGACCGAATCAAATTAGGAAAAGTAGCACCTAATTCGCGGATGGTTGATTAGGCTTCGATCCGTGAGCCAACGAGGCAAAGCGCAAAAAAACCAGGAATCGAACGCGGGAGTGAATGACGAGGTAGGGGAAGGAGGAGGAAGCGGCGAACTAACCTGGTCGGAGTCGGCGGGAGACATCTCCACGCGGTCTCAGAGTCAGAGAGGATGCAAGCAGCAATGACGACGACGAGGAAGTCAAGTGAAGTATGACAAGCAACCAAAACGTTTGGATTAAATATATTTTTGAGATTTACCCTACCCGTGGGATTCATGTCAGTTAGGTTTGGTTGCTTGTCAAAAATATATCCAGTCAAAACGCTTTGGATGCTTGTCATACTTTACTTGACTTCCTCCTCCTCGTCATCCCTGCTTGCATCCGCTCACCAGGTTAGTTCGCTGCTTCCTCCTCCTTCCCCTACCTCGCCGTTCACTCCCGCGTTCGATTCCTGTTTTTTTTTTTTGCACTCTGCCTCATTGGCTCACGGATCAAAGCCCAATCAAGCATCCGCGAATTAGCCGTTGATTTTCCTTATTCGATTCGGTCGTATCGATTGATCCATTTAGGTTGTTTTAAGATGCTCGATTGCGTCTGTAGCAGCAATCTGATCTCTAATTTGATTACTGATGCGGCTGTGTACAACTGTAGTAGACTATCGCCCATGGATGGCTTGAATGTTTTATTACTTCTTAATCACCATGGCGATTATAGGCACATACATGGTCATATTTCATTCGCGCTGCTAATTTTTATACTCATGTAGTAGTTCACAAGCAATTCATAAATTCGACTAGGTTACTGCAAATAGATTATGCTAATTACTTATTACATCTGGGGAGGTCGGTTTTATCTTAGGGTTCAACTTCAAACCTACTCCCTTCAAGCATCAGACCTACCCTTCATCCAACTCCAAATTGGCACCTTCAAACAAAATAAATCATGGAAACTGGAAGCGAGAGGAACCTGGTGAGTCAGTTCTGACTTCTTATATAGGAAACATAATAAGATCTAATCTAGCAGTAAGCAGTTACCAAAACTCAAAAGACTAACCGACTAAAGATTGATACTAGTACCACAGTAATTGTTCATTGATCATGTGACAGCACCAAAGTTTTAACGATGAAGTACTGAATTCCAACCACACTATCATACACGAAGGTAAGTTCTGCTTCTAGACGAACTATGAAGAACTATCAAGCCACCGAGACTAGAATATCTTTTTATGTCAACGTGAACATATCTCCCAGATCCTCAAAAGATATCCATTGCAGAGTCAAATCATTTATTCTAACTTCATTCATAGTTGACATATATGATCATGCACACCATGTTTCCATATTGTTAATCCATGAATGAACAACATTTTCATGGGAAACTAAACATGCATCATTTGTAATTTAAGATAACGCAAAAACCATAAAATTCATGGACATGGAATAAATTTCACCATTGAAAAGGAAGCAAGGCAAGATACTGAATTATGTGGAAGATGACAAATATTACCACAAAAAAATAATTGACCACGAGGAGATTATAACTCATGAAAGATTATAAACAAATTATTATGTATAAATTAAGTATTAATATGTACATGATACTCTCGAGGATGTGGCATCTCATTGACTTGGCAAAAAAGACACTAAAACTTATCACCAATTAAGAAGAACTTACCTTCCAGTCCAATTATGCACTGCTATATTTCAAGATCGATACTTCATACAAGGCCCATTGTAGAAGAGACATTAGTTTATACACTTAAGATGTAATAAGCGAGGAAAAAACCAGCACTCCCTTGACGCAGTAAAATTGTGTTTCATTCAACAAAATGCATTTGCATTGAAGCATTTTTGTGTAAAAGAAATTCATTTCAAGTTTATGGAAACTATTAAAAATGAAATGAACAAATGCTGGAACCAGTTCTAGAAGGTATCAATAAAATGACATCAACACAAACCATAAGAGGACACAAATTTAATTAAGCTGATTGAAAGAAATCACAGGTTTACTCAACAAGAACCAAAAAACACCTTCTATATTTCTAAGACCTCTATTATCAGGGAGCACAGAAAAACATATTGAATTATACCAATCATATCATACGAAGATGGTAAGGTCATGCTAGAGACAATAGGTTCGATAATACACACCATGATTCCAGAGCAAGTAACAGAAATTCACTTTCAACGAAAAAATAATCACAGCATGAATAGAATGGAAATGCATAAAGTACAAATTTAGCATCTCATCATCATATTGCATCACCCAGTTCTTCACAGCATGATTGAATTGTACAATCATTGTGTGATCACAGCATCATCTAATATCACTAGTTATTTACAGCATGAAGGAACAGTTAAAAGCAAAACACAGAATCACATTACCTGACTCATAGCTTGCTTAATAATATCTTTTGCCGCTTCTATCTGCTTCTTATTCCCAGTAATACGTACAGTTCTTTCTGTCAATGTAACACCTTCCAGAGGATGTTGGGGAATCAACTACATGAACATTTATGACCACGATCAAGCCTAAGTTGATGTAAGCATCGGCCATTACAGCATAAGAAGTAACCTTGGTAGGAGGAATCTTGCCGTTCACAGCATCTACAGATGCCTCAGCAGGAGCAGCGTCACTGTTCTCTGTAGCTACCGGCTCATCGACCTTCGCGGAGGACTCGTTGCTCTGCAAGACACCTGATTCAAAGAGAGACCACGATCAGATGAAACGGACTATAAACCCTTCGCGGATTATTCAAGCACCGAATGAATTAGAAAACACATAAGCATCATCCCGTGAGACGGAAAACCCTATGCGCAAAACATGTGGGGAAGGAGGGAGGCGGGGGGATGAGGAGATCCACCTTCGCCGTCGCCTTCCACGCGGGGCCGATTGGCTTCCTCGCCGCCGCCGTTGGCGTCGGGGGCGGCCTCTACCTCCTCGATGCTCACCGGAGATCTGACAGAAACCGAGTAGTAGGGAGGAAGAAGAAAACACAGCAAGAGAAAGAAAGAGAGAAGCAGAGGACGGGTAGTATTTTTCCTCTCTTTTTCGATAGATGTCACGTGCCTACGGGCTGGCGATTTATACACCACACACCCGACTCAACAACCGTTAGCCCCACAAGCCAGTGTCAGAAATCAGTACATAGACTCAATATGCTATAGCCACTCGAAAACGTCTTTTCGCAGTACGTCTTCAGTTCGACACACCTCCTTCGGTCGTTGCCAGTAGCTCATCCGGCATAGGCATAACAGTTGCCCCCCCTGGAATTGGAGCTTGTCCCCAAGGGACAGCGTCCGGAAATCTGGTGCGAACAACGTCAGCATCCTCCCAGGTGGCCAAAGCAGCAGGAAGAGAACCCCAACACGCTAAGTTCTGGACCACGGCAGCATTGCGGGATGAAAGTGGTACGGATAATTTCCGAATTCACTTCGGTCGGATTTTTTTCGGATATTTTCGGATTCGGATACGAATTCGGATAGTTTTTCTCGGAAACGGATTCGAATACAGTAGCGATGGTATCCGTCGGAACTCGGATTCGGTCGGAAACTATCCGGACTTTTTTTCCGGATATCCGAATCAAAATCAACAGCCAAATCCAAATCAGCCACATCAAAAATCGAAAAAAAAAATAAAAATCTCGAAAATGCCGAAACCCTAGCTCACCGCCGGCGACGCCATCCTCGTTGTCGCTATCGACGTCGCTCGAAGCCTCCACAGCCGTCCTTGTCCTCGTCGTCGCCGTCGCCGCCACCAGATCTGCCCCTCCCATCGTTGTTGTCGGAGCCGCCGGAGATCCCAAGCCGCTGCCACGCCGCTCACGCCGCGCCGCGCCGCTCCCGGCCACGACCGGCCCCTGCCCAGCCCGCCGCCGCTGGATTTGGGAGGGGGAGGGCGCCGGCCGTCTCGCCCGCCGCGCCAGGCCGGCACCCCGCCGTGCTAGGCCGCCACCCCGCCGCGCGCCATGCCCGCCCCTCCCCCTCTGGCGTGGAGAATCGCGAAGAAAGGGGAGAAGAGAGCAGAGGAGATAAGAAAGAGAGAGAAAGAGGAAGAGAAGAAGGGAAAGAAAAGGAAGAGGAGGACCCTTACAGTTGGGACCCACCTTCTTTAATCCAATGAAAAACTTTGAATCGAATTTTATCGTAGTAAATGAACTCATATGAAAAAGTTGTAAAAAACAAAGTTGTAGAACTCATTGACTTCTACCATTTTTATTTTGGTAATTTTTCCATCCGAGTTTTATTGAACTATATAAAATTTGAATTTTAAAATATATGAAATTGAAATAATTTTTTGGGTATTAAATGTTTTCAAATGAAAAAAACTGTCAACAACAAAGTTGTAAAACGCATCAAGATCTACAACTTTTGTTTGTGTCATTTTTCTATGTGACTTTGTTAAACAGTTTGAATTTGAATTTCAAAATATGACACCTTCAAACAACATTTTCAAATACTAAATGATTTCAACTAAAAAAGTCATCAATAACAAAGTTGTATAACTCATCAAGATCTATAACTTTTATTTTGGTCATTTCTTCATCCAACAAAGCGATAGTAACATTGTTTACAAAATTTACATATCTCACATATAGTTTCATAAGTTATAAGAGAGATATGTAAATTTTGTGAACAATGTTACTACTGCTTTGTCGGATGAAGAAATGATCAAAATAAAAGTTGTAGCTCTTGATGAGTTCTACAACTTTTATGTTCATGACTTTTTCAGCTGGAATTATTTACCGCTTCAAAATATTATTTGAAGTTGTTATTTTTTTGAAATTCAAAATTTTAATTGATAAAACAAAGTCACAAGAAAAATATGGCCAAAATAATAGCAGTAAGAACACACTAACACAATAGAGCATGATTTTACAAACATTTAGAAAAAAGAATCATCCAATTTGGAGTTCATATGAGTGCGATAAACTAGTCTTAAGGAGCCGCATAGAAAATAAGGTCGATTTTTGCAGATGCCGTCACCCTCAACCACAAAATTGGATATAGCAAAATTATTAACACTAAAATTTGGAAATATTCGTTGATTTGTGATGCTTAGTTTGAGGGGTTTTTGTTCCGATTAATATTCGTCACCGTATTCGTTCCATTTTGTATTCGCTCCTATCTGTATTCGACAATATTCGATTCTGTTTTCGTATCCGGGGTTTCCGATTCCGATTCCGAAAAAAATATGAAAATGAATATGGTAGAGCTAGTTTCCGTCCGTATTCGATCCGTTTTCATCCCTAATAAGAAGTAACCTTGGTAGGAGGAATCTTGCCGTTCACAGCATCTACAGATGCCTCAGCAGGAGCAGCGGCTCATCGACCTTTGCGGAGGACTCGTTGCTCTGCACGACACCTGATTCAAAGAGAGAACACAATCAGATGAAACGGACTATAAACCCTTCGCGGATTATTCAAGCACCGAATGAATTAGAAAACACACAAGCATCATCCCGTGAGACAGAAAACCCTATGCGCAAAACACGCGGGGAAGGAGGGAGGCGGGGGGGGATGAGGAGATCCACCTTCGCCGTCACCTTCCACGCGGGGCCGATTGGCTTCCTCGCCGCCGCCGTTGGTGTCGGGGGCGGCCTCTACCTCCTCGATGCTCGCCGGAGATCTGACAGAAACCGAGTAGTAGGGAGGAAGAAGAAAACACAGCAAGAGAAAGAAAGAGAGAAGCAGAGGACGGGTAGTATTTTTCCTCTCTCTTTTTCGATAGATGTCACATGCCTACAGGCTGGCGATTTATACACCACACACCCGACTCAACAACCCTTAGCCCCACAAGCCAGTGTCAGAAATCAGTACATAGACTCAATATGCTATAGCCACTCAAAAACGTCTTTTCGCATCAGTTCGACACACCTCCTTCGGTCGTTGCCAGTAGCTCATCCGGCATAGGCATAACAGTTGCCCCCTGGAATTGGAGCTTGTCCCCAAGGGACAGCGTCCAGAAATCTGGTGCGAACAACGTCAGCATCCTCCCAGGTGGCCAAAGCAGCAGGAAGAGAACCCCAACACGCTAAGTTCTGGACCACGGCAGCATTGCGCTTCTTCACCATTCGCCGATCCAAAACTTCAGAAGGGATGAAATCGGCAATATCCAGTTGAGCAGCCGTGGGCAACTGAGAGCACATCGGTTTGTTGTCAGGAACAAATTGCTTTAACTGGGACACATGGAACACCGGATGAATGAGACTATCATCAGGTAACTTCAGTTTGTAAGCCACCGAGCCAATTGCCTGCAAGATTTCAAAGGACCCAAAATACATGAATGCCAGCGCTGAGCATATGGCTGTAATATCAAGAGTACCAACTTGAAAAGAACGAGCAGTGCGCTTTGCATCCACTAACTGTTTCATATGGTTCTGAGCGCGAGCCAGATGATGTTGCAACATAGATCAAAACAAAGCACGTTCTTGCAGTAGACCAGCAGCACCAGTGTCACCATCTTCGTCAGGCTCAGGTACTGAAGGCAAAAGACCATAGGTGGGATCACTGGCATATAAAGCCTTGTGGTGAGATCATTTCAATGCTGAATGAAAACTAGTATTGTACCAGTACTGAGCCAAGGGAAGCCAGGAACTCCATTTAGTGGGGGGCTGAAGCCACAGCACAATGTAAGTACATTTCCAAGCTCTGGTTTACCCACTCAGTCTATCTGTCTGACTGGGGATGATACGCAGTGGTCAGATTCAAAGGAATGCCAAATCTCTTGATCAAATGCTACCAAAAATGACTAGTGAAGATTTTCTCACGATCAGACACAGTAGATTTGGGCATGCCATACAAAGAAGCCACTCGATTCAGATAACTTTCAGCCACTTGCAGTGCAGAAAATGGGTGTTTCAATGGCAAAAAATGTGCATACTTAGTAAATCGATCCACCACGACCAAAATGACATCACTACCTTTAGACACAGGAAGACTCTCAATAAAATCCATAGAGATATCCTGCCAAACCCCTGAAGGAATTGGTAAAGGTTGTAATAACCTAGGATAAGAGCAATGTTCATGTTTGGCCTTCTGACAAACAGTGCATTGCTGAACAAATTCTTCCACTGACTGCTTCAGATCCCTCCAAACAAATAATTTCTTTACTCTCTGATATGTGGCCTGAATGCCAAAATGGCCCCCAATAGCTGAGTCATGGATGGCAGAAATGATCTTAGTGTGTAAAGCAGAATTAGTGCCCAGCCAAATCCTGCCCTTCTTCCTGATCAAACCATGAGACAAGGAATAACCCTGGGCATTAGAAGAGGCAACAGCTAATTCAGTGAGCAAGGATTGAGCCTGGGAATCCACCACATAGGAGTTAACCACTTCCTGCACCCACACAGGCTGA